GGGATGCATGTTTAAATTGCAAAAAATATGTCGATCATCAATGGTGTCCGGAATAGCGAGGAATATAAAGTATTCCCATTTTGTTACAAAGAGAGTCTCGCCCCCTTATCCCCCTTTTTCTTATTATGTGTAATACACTCATCCACTCGCTCTCACTATGTCGCTCCATCTTACTCTTCGATTTTTGCTATATTCGGAAAGAGCTGCCAAAAGATAATCCGGTATTTTTTTTTCCCTTTTTCACTAGTTGCCTGTTTTTTTTTCTTTTCCTTCTTATCCATTCCCCTTTTTTAAAAAACAAGAACCTCTTCATTTTCTTTTTCTTTTTCTTTCATTTTTTTTTCTTTCTCCGCATTACGATATTATTATGTCTGCTTCGTTTACATACGTTAAAGAGTCTTTTATTTTTAACAAAAAGACACTAGTCTATCATGGATTACTAGAAAGTAGTTCACAAGCCGCAGACCTAGAGCCAGTTTGGTCAATGCATTCGGGAGATAACATTGCGTCGCTAAACACTGGTCGTAACGGAGCCGTTATAATGACGGCAACAATAGATCGCGTACGGAAGGACCAAGCACAATTTACTTATCAGGGCAAGATGACTAATGGAGGATTTGATGCAGCAAAATCAACATGGGCATTTTACGATTTTGACGGCAAGCGATATGACTGGATGGCTGGTATAATGCAAAACTGTTGGAAATTAGAAGATTCTGAAGGACACGTTGTTGCTCAGTATATCGGTATGTCTCGCGATTATAAAGTTAAAGCTACTCTTTCTTTTCAGACTAAAGTCAGCGAATCTCTTATTTCTCTTGTTCTTTTGACTACTAAACTTATCAATTATGATGAAGCTTCAAAGCGTTAGAATATATATTAACTTATTCATTTCTTCTCCAGTGCCTTGGCTCCTAATCCTAGTAAGCTAGGTCGTGAGTTATTACTAACAATTGTTGTGTTATCGCTTTCTTCTTTCCATCCCATCCCACGCAACATAGCCGCTCCAAATGACTCTATAGGTACTCGCTCATATGTCTCCTCATCCACATCACTGTCATCCTCCACAGCCGGTGGCGCTTGGTCAATACGACTAGTCTGTTTATCGCGAGCTTTACTAGGTGCCATTACTTGTAACCCAAACTTTTCAGTCACTGTTGTCTGTGGCTCCCTTTTCTTCATCCAATCGGCGTTACGCTTTACTGGTATAACTAGCTCTTTTTTGGTCTCGCCATTACCGAGAATAACCTCACTCTGTGCGTCTACTATAGCTATAGTTTTATTATCGGTTGATTCGGAATTAGGGTCATCAAACCCGCGTACTGGCTTTTTCACTCCTTTAAAGTTTGCGCTACTACCAAGTTGTGCCTTTCCCGTTTTTCGCATAATGAAATAATGATACAAGGTAGTATAAAAAAAAGAGAGAGAGAAAGAGATTGTTTTTCTTTTTCACCTCCCCCTCAGCCATGACTGGTGATATGGTCATTGATAAAAGATCGTGAAACTTATGGATAATATTACTATTGATTGGCCAACACACTTCCCTTCATGCCAAAAAGTTGTTTATAGACATATACAGTGCTTTATTGCTTGATACTCTGTTTAATGAGAAAGAAATAAAAAAAAAAGATATCTTCGTAACCAATAGGCAAAAAAAAGTCAAAAAGAACCTCCGCCGGGGGTCGAACCCGGGACTCCGCTTTAGGAGAGCAGTGTTTTTCCACTAGACTACGAAGGCAATGCACAAAAGGCCAGTTTTTGAGCTAGGTGAAAGAATTTTCACAACGGGTAAATCAAAAGTGACAATTTATACATTAGCATATTCTATGTCACTATGCCCTATTTTCGGTATAAAATAAACGGCATTATCCCTAGATGGCATTGAGCACTCTGGTGAGATCATGTTTATCCTGTGAATATCAATGCTCATGCTACGCATCACTCAGGACTTCACCTACCCTTTTTTACGCAAACCAAGGCCGTCCAATATTTCCTTACTCGCTGGCTACAGGTGTCAGACTTCTAATGTATATTCTCCAAGCTCGCGGGATACACTGACGGGAAACCGACTTTATTCCGGTAATAACACTTTTATTGGTTTCTCTATCGTCTTTTCCATGTCGAGCTTTTTTTTTTGGAAAAAAATGTCTGTCCGATTTTTAATTGCGAAAACGCAATATTACAAGATGTGCTATGAGAAAGTGTGGCACACAATGTAAAGCAGATGATGTATGTTCCATGACGCGCGTGTTCTTTTTTGCTATATAAGGGTTGGTTTTTAAGCGTGGTGAGAAGAAAAATAAAATAGCTCCCTGCAAGCCATGATTTGACATTGTCATTTTTTTACCCTTTTTTTTTCTCTCGCTCAGAGTACGCTTGGGAACTAGTGACATCCAAAAAAACCCCCCTCAAGATATTTTCCGGTCTAGAATTAGCTCATATTGAGTGCTCTTGGTACGGTAGTCGGCATCTCCCCAATTTAAATACCTCAAACATATCTGACCGTTCATCATCTCTCAAAATATTCCATATCAAGCCCAAATATTTTATCCCATCTCTTCATTCATCGTCTTATAATGTATTGGGCACTGCTGGGTTTTACTCTAGTAGCCGCTGCCACTTTGCTTCTTGGCCAAGCGGCACGCGTAGTCCACGACTGGGACATTGGCTATTTGACTCTCAACCGCGACGGATACACAACTCGTCGCGCAATAGGCGTCAACGGTCAATTGCCATTCCCTCCCGTATACGCGACCAAAGGCGACATACTAGTTATCAACGTACACAATTCGCTAGATGTTCCAACATCGATTCACGCTCACGGGATATTCCACAAGGGTGCCAGCTACATGGACGGCGCTGGTCTAATCACGCAATGCGGCATACCGCCAGGCGAGAACTTCACGTACGAGATTAACGCGGACCGGGCAGGCACGTTTTGGATTCACGGCCACTACAATCACCAGAACGTCGACGGTCTGCGCACGCCACTAGTCAT